TTTTTCTTTACTTAATTGACTTAATTTCTCTAAATGCTGAGTTAATTTAATGAAAATCAGGGCAGTCTATTTTACTCCTTGACATGACACCAATATAATCCTTACAAATATGCTCCACAAAACCAATCCCTCTTTCTGTTTAAAATCCCTGGACATCTGCTATACCTGCCTTTGCAAATGTATTCAGTATTTGAAGACTCTGAGCCTGAGCAGACATCTATAAAATGAGAGATGCTTTCATTTTTCCAAATCGTTTCCCTTGTCCCTATGCCCTCCCAGGGATCTCTGAGAAGTCAGTGACATATTGGAGAAATGGTCTCAAACTACAGAAATGATCTGAGGTAAATAGGAAGAAGTTCAATAAGGAAAAATTCAAAATACTCCACTTAGGAAGGAACAATCCGTTGCACATGTACAAAAGGGGAACTGACTGCTAGCAAAGAGTTCTTTGGAAAGAGATCTAGGTCCAGAGCACACCACAAGCTAAATGAGAGCCAGCAGTCAAAAAAGCAAACATTATTCTGGGACGTATCAACAGGACTGTTTTAAGCAGCACACAAGTCATTCTTTGGCTCTAATCTGTGCTGATTAGGCCTCTTCTGAAATATTGTGTCCATTCTGGGTGCCACATTTCAGGAAAGATGTGGACAAAGTGGAAAGTCCAGAGAAGAGCAACAAAAATTATTCAAGATCTAGAAAACATCTCCTAATTAGGCAAGACTGAAATAATTGGCTTTAAGTCTGGAAAAGAGAAGACAGAGGGGATGTGATAACAGTTTTCAAATACCTAAAATTTTGGTATAAGGAGGAGGGAGAAAACATTTTCTTCGTAATCTCTGAGGATAGGACTAGAAGCAATGGGGTTAAATTGCGGCAAGGGAGGTTTAGGTTGGACATTAGGAAAAGCTTCCTCTTAGGGTAGTTAAGTAATAGAATCAATTGCCTAGGGAGGTTGTGGAATCTCAATCACTGGAGATTTTTAGAAGCAGATTAGACAAATACCTCATACCTCCCATGAGTGCAGGGGACTGGACTTGATGACTTCTTGAAGTTCCTTCTAGTCCCATGATAACCTGTATTGATACTGCCAAACTACACACCAAACAATGAACCTCTAGCAACCATTTTAGTTTTAATTCTTTGTTAACTTGGAAGTGACCTCAGAAAAAGACCCGGGGAAAAATTTTAAAAGCCCTTAATTCTCATTTTTAGAAGTGAGTTAGGCAACCAGTAACTTTTGGGATTGCCTACATGATCATTTAGCTTTTGTCAAGCTGGAGTGTAAATCTATTCCACATTAACTGAACCTAGCACTCAATGTCTACGTGAACACTGCTGACGCACATTAAGAGTTTGTCAATGTGCTGTGAGCTACCCTGCTTTCTAATGGGAGCGGATCAAAGTACGCTAGGGAATTCATATTGCACAGCAGAGTCACACCCCAGCTTGCCAGACAAGAACTATGTCTAACTGAAATTCAGTTAATATGCCTTATAAAATTATCGTAGAGGCAGGTCATACTGAAGTTAGTGCATAATAATCCTCCTCCACCTAGACAAACCCAGCTTCCCCAAGTGAGTTAGGTGCCTAACTCCTGTTTAAAACCAATGGAAAATAGGTGCCTAAGATGCTTATGTGCTTTTTATAAATCCCTCTAAGCTCCTTTTTGCATGTTTAGGTGCCTAACTACCTTTGTAAATACAGCCCCAGCTAGCTTTATGATAAGGACTGAGAACTCAGATGAACAAGAATGAGAAAAGGGAGAAATGTCATACATTTTAACAAATATTTACTGTTTCTGGATTAGGAAGGGGTGGTTCTTTTTATTGGGTGGATTTTCACCTCTAACTGACTAAGTCTGTCTCTGTACTCTGACTCAATACAGGCAGCCTCCGACTTGCAACGCGATTGGTTCCCAGGGAAGCGTCGCTAGTCGGGGGCATCGTAACTCAAACCCTCATTTAGGATAGGTGCCGGGCCTCTTGTAAATGCGGGCAAAGGATGTAAGTCGGGGGTTTTCGGTCCCTTCTGCACTTACAACCCCTTGCACTTAAAACCATTTTTGTAACTCGGGTGGTCGGAAGTCCGGGGTTTCCTGTATATGGAGAATCTATTCTCCTGCATAGAAATAGTAAATAAGTCCCAGCAGGGACTGTGCAGCATGGTGTGTTGTGTTCTCTGGGCAACTGGCAGAGGTTATTCACACAGGGCACGTCTAGACTATGTTCTGTTTTCGAAAGAGGATATGCAAATTCTGCAGGAATTCCTGCAGAATTTGCATATCTTCTTCCGATTGCTTTTTCAAAAGTGAGTCTTTCGAAAATGAAATAGTCTGGATGCATTTTTTTTCGGGAAAAAACCCTTTTTTTGAAAAAACCAGCTCTTCCTAAAAAAAGGAGGTTTACACAGTTTTTTGAAAGCCCCCCCCCGAAAAAACCCCCACATCCAGACTACTTTCACTTTTGAAAGACCCGCTTTTGAAAAAGCGATCAGAAGAAGATATGCAAATTCCCGTGGAATTTTCATATCCTCTTTCAAAAACAGAATGTAGTCTAGACATGCCCTCAGTGACATTATTCATATCTTCCTGCAGTAATTCCACCAAATGATGTGTACCTAGCCCCTTTGCTGCCGATACCACTGTCCTGGGGGTGAACAGTCTCTGAAGTGCTAACACTGGGTGAGAGAAAGAATGAGACTGACTCTGCAGCCTGGTGACTGGGGCACTCATGGGAGGTTTTTTCCCTCCTATAGCAAAGACCATTTAATTATTAAAAGACTAAGAGGCCTCTCCTGCAACATTCTTCAGGTCAGGGCACTCTCTAGGGAGGGAGTAGGCTCCAGTTCAAATCCCAGCTCCCCATCACGCAGAGGGGGGAATGAAACCTGGTTTTCTTACAACTTGGGTGAGTGCTCTAATCACTGGGCTACTGTAAGGGCAATGCTGCCTCCACTTCCTCTAGCCTTCTTGTGTGGGGTTAGGTGCGCTCTGTGCACATCTCCTGGATTTGGACCTCATAAGTGGGGGGAACCACTGTGATGTAGGCACCTAGACTAAGGTGGAGATTAGATTCCTAGAGGACTTCAACAATGGACATTTAGTTGCCAAGGGGCTTTAGGCACAGTTAAGTGACAGCTGAGCAGGGCTTTCGAGGCTCTTAGTAGTACCTAAAGGGATCGAACCCTTTGAGCTTTTTTTTTCATGCTTACTGCCAACAATACCAAAATATTTTAAACAAAGAAAATATTAAATACATCTTAGTTCACATCCCACCTGCAAAAGCACAATTTAAAACAAAGCAAAGTTTCACATTCATTTGGAAACTTACAAAAGGAAAATACTCAGAAGAAAGGTAATTTCGTAGCATTCCTCAAATACTGTACATTCAGCAAACATTCTGAATTGCGTACTACAATGTATTTTCAAGTAAATATCCATCTTTACTTTACATTTATCTATGTACCTGCTTCCACTAGATCAATGGGTTTCAAACGTTTTTTCTCATGACCAAGTTGAAGAAAACTATTGATGCCCGCAACTCAACATCATGTGACTAGAATGTGGACTCTGGAGTGGGGATGAGGAAAAGGGCTTTGAGGTGTAGGAAGAGGCTTGGGTTTTGAGGGGGGTCACTTCTGGGGCAGGAGGGGTTTCCTGATCAGTGGTGCAGCAGGGGTACTAACACAGGCTTCCTGCCTCTCCAGGCATCGCAGACCATGTTGTGCCCCAAAAGCAGGTTCCTAGCCAATGGGAGTGCAGAGCTAGGGCATGTAGCAGGGGCAGTGCGCAGAGCCCTGTGTGCTCCACGCTCCACACCTAGGAGCCGGGCGTGCTGCTGGCTGCTCCTATGGCACAGCGCAGTCTGCAGTGCCAGGACAGGCAGGTAGCCTGACTTAGCACCCCACTGGCTATCTGATCCCCCTACAGCAACATGACCCAGTGTCTAGAGAATATTGGAACATTGGGCCTGATTTTACTATCCTTCAGTCACATGGAGAACACAGATCTTTCTGGAAATAGTCATATGATTTGTTATTTGAAGCTGAAATCAAGCAAGTTATCCTCTTAAAACTTCTCTGACACATGAGCTTTTATGTTAGTAGCTATTTTTCTTCTGGATGCTAACCACATTTAATATTTGGAACTTTTTCTCGGAAGACAAACCCTCTAGACCATCAGTCCTGCAAGTTTTATCTTTTGCTATCTCTAATATCTGCATATCCTTTAATTAATGTAGGCAACAGATGCTGCAATTTAATATTCCAGTTGTGATCTTACCAAGGAATTACACAGAGCAACCATTATTTCCTATTAGAAAGTAATTCCTTTTTTTTATAGCCTTGCAATTTGCTGGCTTTCTTTGCTGCAGCTATGTACTGTGGCTTGGTTTTCGCAATATTACTGTGCCTAATCTAAAATTCTTTGCTTTTTCTTTCATATCCAACTGAATTCTTTTTAATTAGTATTTTGATTCTTTCTTGGATCTCACTGTTGCTCTCATTTGTGCATTAGCAGTGTCTCTGAATGCTAATGAGACAGAAGGGGAAGGGAATTTGATTAATCATAGGTGACTATGACAGTGCTGCATATTTCTTTTTCTAAGTATTTCTAATTATACAAAGGCAGTGTCTTAGTTTAATACACCACAACAAATGAGAAACCAAGGGAGTTTGCATTTATAAGGAGTACACGTCGCTATTTTTTTTTTTATTTGGGAGCTATTTCAATTTAGATCCTGTTCAAATCTATTATCTAGGTAGCAGTGAGAATGGCTGAAATGATTAACAATAAACTAAACCCTGACTGAATTGATATTCTATATGAGAATGAAAGGTTCTTTCCTTCTGCTATTTCACCTGCTGAGGTTAAATCAGAAAGATGAACCTTAAAACTCAACATACCATCCTTCTGAAAAGCAAATGAGTCCGTGGCCAGATTGATGCCCAATGTAATGGAGCAGCCTCGACATACATTTGCATCTGCCGGGATGATTTCTTACCTTCACCGCAAATTCTGCTTCTGTTGTTTTATGCACACACCTTTTGCATACTGAATAGGAGCCAACACCTATGTCTTCCTTGATCTCATATCCATCTGTAAAATGAATATTGTTCCCATGCAACTGCTGCAGAGAAAGACAAAACAAGGGAAATCAGAAGACAAGCATTATGGAACCATATAACAGAGGAATCCTGGCCAGCGACAATAAAGGGCCTGCTGAGCTCATCCTCTCCAAACATATACAAAGGCTCCATTGTCCTTAGGAAATATATTATCTAAGTTCAGTTCAATGAAGTTGTGTCCACTTCCTAAATAAATGTGTTTCCTTCTTTATTGGTGCCCTTCCTCAATAAACTACAATTGTGTGTCTAGAAACAATGGTTGAGATGTTTTTGCGATTTAGAGATTCAGTTCTCACTAGAAATTGATCACACACTATAGCCCAATGAATATTTAAATATTTATACAAAGTGGAACGACCCCAATAGGAGAGATTGAGAGACTGACCAAATAGAATGGTGGTTAGGGAAGAGAGACTTGAATCTGGATTCCCCCATGTCTCTCGTGAGTACCCTAGTCACTGGGGGTATGTCTACACTACCCTCCTAATTCGAACTAGGAGGGTAATGTAGGCATACCGCACTTGCAAATGAAGCCCGGGATTTGAATTTCCCGGGCTTCATTTGCATAAGCCGGGCGCCGCCATTTTTAAATCCCGGCTAGTTCGAATCCCGTGCCGCGTGGCTACACGCGGCACTTAGGAAGCCTAATCCGAACTAGCTACTCCGTGCCGCGTGTAGCCGCGCGGCACGGGATTCGAACTAGCCGGGATTTAAAAATGGCGGCGCCCGGCTTATGCAAATGAAGCCCGGGAAATTCAAATCCCGGGCTTCATTTGCAAGTGCGGTATGCCTACATTACCCTCCTAGTTCGAATTAGGAGGGTAGTGTAGACATACCCTGGGTTAGTAGCTATTCTGGGATTGTCTGTCTCTCTTGTTTTTCCACAGAGTTTTGAAGAGTCTCATTTTTGACTCCATGAAAAATGAGACCTAATGCTGACTCAACATTTTTCAGAAAATGAAATTATTTTCTCGCCTGCCCCAGCAATTGATTGTGAAGCATTTTGTGCTATTATTGCAAAAAACAAGCTATATAAAATTATACTGCACTGTAGCACACAGAATAATAAGGATGAAAGCCGATACCATAAGCAGGGGCACTCCTTATGAAGTGCATCAGAAAAGACCTCATGTCAGATTGCAATGTTCACGTGGTTGCAGTGCCATTCACTCCTGTGTGTTTCTTTATTTGGCGTTCAAATCTGCATCAGTGAACGAATGGGCAGAAACCATCCTTACGGACAGCTGATGCTCACTTTGCCATTTACAAAAGAGCCAAGGAAAGAGGGGGCATTGGGCAAAAAAACTGCTTCCTTTTCTCATAGTAGCAAAAGAACTGGCTGGGATGTGAATTTACTGCAGTGGCATGCAGGGGAGGGAACATCAATGAACATCCATTTATTGGCTGTTTCTTGTTGTTCATGTAAGAAGGTAGAGGCCCTGCACATGGTGCCATTTACTCCTATGCCTGTAGATCCAAGGTCTGTGTAGCCCACACAAAGGGAGGCCTTACTCTCCTTTATGCCATTAGGAAAAAGATAAAAACAGCCATACTGAGCACTGGTCCATTTTGTGCAGTATTCTGTATTCTGACAGTGGCCAGTGCCACCAGGTACTTCAGAGGAAGTGAATAGAATGTACAATCATTGAGTGCCCTAGTCCTGTAGCCCACTCCCAGCTTCTGGCAGTCAGAGGCTAGGACACTTGGAGTATGGGGTTGCATCCCTGACAAATCTGGCCAATAGTCATTGATGGATGTATCCTTTATGAATTTATCCAGTTCTTTTTTGAACCCCATTGGCCTTCACAGCTTCCCCAGGCAATGAGTTCTACAGGTTTAATTATGTGTCATGTAAAGAACAGATAGAAAAAAAATATCAATATCACCAGATAAATCCATGCTATTCCAACATCTTGAATACTTCATGCAGTTATGGTTGAAGGTGCTCAAAAGAGGACAAAGTAGAGAGAAGAGCAATACACCTTATTAGGGGAATGGAAAAACTTTCATACCAAGAAAGAGTAAAAAGATTAGGATTGTTCAGCTCAGAAAAGAGACAGCTAAGGGGAGGTATGATGAAGATCTATAAAATCATGAATGGTGTGGAGAAAATGAACAAGGAAGGAAGTGTTATTTACCCATCATATGGCACAAGAACCAAGAGTCACTGAATGAAGTTAATAGGCAGCACATTTAAAACAAACATGACCATCTTTACAGCATGCACAGTTAAACTTGTGAAACTCATTGTTAGGGGATTTTGTGAAGGCCAAAACTATAACAGGGCTAAAAAGCATTTAGAAGTGCACTTTGTTTGAGTAATTAAATTGAGAGTGTCACATTTTCTTTATTCCAAAAAATAGGAAAGTTTATTATACAACTAAAAAGCCTTTGGAAAATCTCCCCTTTTTTTGCACCTGCTGCTGGCTGTAAGCAAATTAGATTAGGGATAGATAAGCTGATTGACTGAGGTAGTTTCAAATGTAATATGCAGCTCTATCTGCTCATCCAACGTGACGCATAATACAAAGTGTCAGTACCTGCACAATTGGGTGAATTGTGATTTTGTGCAAATCTGGCTGTGAAGGCTCCTGTACCAAATTGGATGCAATGAAGCTGAACCCTCTGAAAAGGTGATGAGCATTGGCGCTTGGAGGAACACCAGGGGAGTCTGCAGAAGAAACAAGGATATGACTGCGTGAGTTGAACCAACAGAGATCAGAAAGTGAGTAATGGTACAAAATTTGCAGCAGTGAAGGTCACCACTGCCATCCAACAACAAGCCACACTAAATCAGCAATCAGGCACCTGTAGTCTTCATTATCATGATCTCAAGATTGTGATATGCATGGACTACCTCTTCCTGCCCTGTATCCAAACATAGAGGGGAACATCTATGCATAGATCTCCTGAACAGCGGTCTTATTGCACAGCAGTTTCCACCACACCATTACAACAGAGCACTCCACAAGTCTGGGGTCCATGCCAAGAAGGAAGGGGCTGGGAGAAAGTGGGCAGACAAGAGCATTGCTCTGTCTTTGGCCTTGTGGAGATTCCCCAAGGAAAAAATACAACCTACAGCTGTACAGCAGAACCCCTCTTTTATGAACCAATTGGGAACTCAATTCAGAAAAATCCAACCGTGCATAAAATTGAATATGATAGTAGATGTGGTGCCTAAGTTGGCGCACTGCATGGCTTTCCTTCTTGTCCTTCCATCCAAGGTTCTGAGGCCATTGGAATGTGAAGGGATGTCAGTGTGTTCTTCATTAACATCACTATCGTTATGGAGGTTATTTTATCCGCTGTCATGAAAAATGGTTTGTATAAGATGGTTATTTGTTAAGACTATTGTTTGTAAAAATCAAGGTTCTACTGAATTCCCCATCATCCCCACAGAGCCTTGTTCCTGAGGCCTGGGAATTGCCACAGCTACTAAGAATGTAGAGTAGCATGAATGGAGATGTGTTGTCTCTGGGTCAGAGAAGTAGCAGGAACCACCAGTCTGGAGCAATTGCAAACATATGATGCCTCTGCACTGTAGCTCCTGGCCCAGTTGAAATGTATCAAGTTTAGGGGTAAGAGCAGTCACCTATTCTATGCAGAGGGGACATGTAAGGAATGGGTATTACCCCTGGATGGACCAACTGGGCCAAACTTTGAATGTGTTGTCTCTGGGTCAGAGAAGTAGCAGGAACCACCAGTCTGGAGCAATTGCAAACATATGATGCCTCTGCACTGTAGCTCCTGGCCCAGTTGAAATGTATCAAGTTTAGGGGTAAGAGCAGTCACCTATTCTATGCAGAGGGGACATGTAAGGAATGGGTATTACCCCTGGATGGACCAACTGGGCCAAACTTTGAAGGGATCCTCACGGATATTTCTATCCCTAAAAACCTCTCCCATTGTAAAACCCATGGAAGGGGGTGATCTGAGTCTGAAAGTTTAAATCCTTCTGCCCTCTGAGTCACACCCCCATACAACATTCTCTGGTAGCCAGCCCAAGAATTAACCTGTCATAACAAGGGGAAAAAAGATTTATTTATCATTTTTAAACACACACTTATAAACATTTTTAAACAATGCAAACAACAGGGCTCAGTAATATCTACTGGTACTGTCCCTGGATTTTAACTAGATGGGTATTATAAAACCTATGCTATTTATGCCTACTTATTTCCTACTGCCTTTCATTGTTTTTCTGACAGTCCCTCCTATTACAAAACAAGTACTTAAAAAAAAAAAGTTAAGGAATTACACCTCCCATACTAAAATATCTCCTGGTAGAAAACTCATAGGACAACCAGTTTCCCATCCCCTTAGGCCATGTATACTGCTCTTGATTTGTCTATGCAACATCTGCTAAATCAGTATCAATATTAACTGAAGTCAATGGACATGTCATGCGTAGCTGTTCACTGGAATTACTTGGCAAGGTAAATTATTTCCCTATCTGAACATTTTCCTCAGAAATGCAGTAAAAAATCATGAACAGAGAAAGATGCTCTGAACAATTCTTTGGATAGCAGCATGACGACAAACCTGTTCAGAGGAAATTATCTGCTTAACACTGTAGAGGTTAGTGTAGCCAGGGTTGCAAGTGGTATGTAATTCATCAGGGATCACTCTTAGCAGTGACATGCATCAGAAATACACACAATGAATCAGACCTATCTCCAGAGAGCGAGAAAGGTCATATTTGTTTGTTAAAATGATCTGAGCTAGCTGTTCATCTCTCAGCATATTGAAGACTGCTGTCTTTCCAAATGCTCGCATTGAATCAAGGCTTTTACAAAATCAGATGCTGGAATATGGAATTGCATCAGTTTTACAAGCCTGGTTTAAAAAA